TCGGTGAAGAAATGTAATTTGAAGAATGAATTGAATGAAATGTACATATTGATTTATTGATGTACATAATTTTACATCTAAAAAAATAAAATAAAGACAATTTTTTTATATCTTTCATAAAATGTTCACGAATCTCTGCATTTTTAGACTGATGTGCTTCAAAAAGCTTGATCTGAAATACAAAATAAATATTTTTCTACATATGTGCTATTTATCGGCAAGTTTTCCATTCTATTTATTCTCAAAATTGTTTCACCGAACCGTCAAAATGAATAAATCTCTTAATTTCTAAAATCAGATGCACACATGTTTTATACAATTTTGTTTTTGTTATATGTGTAATGAATTATTGTTGACTTGTTAAGGCGAGTTGTAACATTATTGCTCGTTCGTCGAGAGTAATCCGCTAACTTCTCCTCCTTGTAGAAATTCCCGCTAAGTATTTCTAACGACCGTAGCGAGCACTGATGCGAGTTCATTAGCGTGTACCCTAACGGGAGTAAGATGCAAGTAAACGTAAAATGTATCTAACGTATAGAAAAAAAGCATATTTCCTCTCTCTCTCTCTCTCTCTCTCTCTCTCTCTCTCTCTCTCTCTCTCTCTCTTTCTCTCTTTCTCTTTCTCTTTCTCTTTCTCTTTCTCTTTCTCTCTTTCTCTCTTTCTCAATAATCACGCGACGCATTTCGCGAACGCATAGCGACGCTTCGATTAACTCGATTAATTCGGAACAAGAATAACGCGGATGCGCCACGTTAATCCCCGCCTCGACGATTACGATATACCATTGTTAATTACTTCTGTAATATAATGCAACGCGTTTGTAAATAAATCTCGATCCGAATTAAGCAATATTGTCCCCGCTCCACCCCTCAAACTCCTCGCATTTTCCAAACATAATTATTTAGTTTAGGAGCACAAGCAGAGGCTTTCTTTTTCTCTTGTTAGTACAGTTTTTTTACGCCTCGATGTACATTTGAGTCAAGCTAGATATTCGCAGTCATTTTTGTACGCTCGCAACCTTATCAAACGTCAAATATTAGCGGACAGCCTAAAAGTCTACGTCTGAAAGACTCAGCTTATCGCGAGGCTAATATCGCGCGAGTGAATACGAGCGTACGCGCTTTGCACCACTCTCGTAGTTTTCTAAGGAAAGCCGCGAAATTAATCGAAGAGGCGGCGGGGAGGAGGGTGACGACGAGGGAAAATCTCGAGGGCAATGTGGAGTTTCCTCCGTGCCCCCCCCCCCGTCGCCACCCTCCTCTCTCTCCCCGCCGGGTCTACACGGGGCGGCTCGTCGTGTTTTATTTCTGATAGCGACGCCTCCGTCGCCGCCACGGGGACATTATCGCCACCGCGAAGGACCCTTTCTTCCCCCATAAAGGCAATCATGCTTTCTCCGCGGTGAGATAACGGCGAGAATGGCGGCCGGGAGACGTTTTCCACACCGTGGCGGCACGTTCCCTCCCTGTGCCACGACAATCAGTAAGAATTCTTCGCCGCGTTCGCGATCGATTTCGCGAGAAACGAAAATTCAAGTCGATACGCGTATAGATTCTTAAAGCAATTTCAAATAAAAACCATTCTGAGGCGATTTAACTTCGAAACCTATAATTTAAATTTACGTATTTATTTTTTTTATTAAAAATTGAATATTTTCTCTGAATGTCTACTCAGGATCTATCCAACTCTATTCAAAATCCACTCTAGTCCTGTTTAGGATGGAATATGATTCGCGGATGGCGAGATTCCGTGCGCTTTCGCGAATAACGCCCCATCAGATTGTTCGAAGACGACAACGACGACGACGACGGCGGGGGGAGCTGGTAAGTTTTACGGGTGGCGTACAAAGACGAAGGAAAGAGGACGAGCGGGTGGGAGAGTGCGGCAACGACTATCCTCTGACCAGGGAAGTCTACGCGCCGCACTCCATTAGTATGCGCGAAAGCGCGTCGCGCTCGATTGTGGCGGGTATTGTCGCCGAAGAATGTCCTCGTTGCGCGGAGCTCCTCGCGACTCCGGACGGTTCCCTTCGGTAAAGAGACGAAAGCGAGAATTCGAGTATGAAATGTAATCACTCTCCGAGAAAGTGAGCGCCGAGAGAGAGAAATCCCGAACCGCCACGGTTCATCCAGCAGCGCGGCTGGAAAAGGACGAGTGACAACGCTACGTGTCGATAGACGCGTGGGTGTCTCAGGAGTAACATTGTCTTCCTGACTCCCGTGTCGTCGTTGCGTCGGCGTCGCCCCGCAATTGAATTTTACGTCAACGTTACCGCCGGGGCACGCGAGAAGCTTCATTTAGCCTGGAATTAGCCCGGAGCACAATCCACTAATCCTCGCCCAACACGAGCGCGCGATTCAGATTTTAAATGATCCCTTTAGCCGCGCAGTACCTAAAATTTCCACGGAGATAAGGCGACGGTAAAATCTGTCTCGCCATTTTACCGAAATTAGCCGGGAACACAGGATCTCTTTGGGAGATTCCCGCGTCCGACGGGGGTAGGAGGGGTGGGACGGACGTTTTAATTGCGTCGCTCGTCCGCGCTCGGCGATATCAGCCGCGCTTTTATGCGCGACGCAAAAAGAGGAGGCGCGATCGTTTGATTGCGGAAAATGACGGGCGGCGGTGGGCGCGAGTGGAAGTTTTGAGTGGGCGTCGGTCCCGGCAGACAATGAGGCATTCAGGCGCGGCATTGTGCCGGCCGACAACTGCGTTACCCTAGACAAACCCGAAATCACCGGCGCTATCGCCGCTCCAGATCCGATTATGTGAATAATAAAAAGCGTGATGACAGAGCGTGAGCGGGAGAAAGAAAGAGTGAGAGAAGGGGGGTGGAGAACGAGAGATAGGGGTGGGCGCGCTAAAGGTTAATAATAGCGATGCCGCGTGGCTGACGCTTCCCTTATCGTCTTACAATAAACATCGTATCTCGTATATTCTTTTTAGATCGCGCCGCGAGATACGTGTGAACGTTTCTCCGACAAATTTGTAATTAACTTAAATTAAAAACTTCCCGGAAATGTACTATCAATAAGTGATATTAAAAAGTCTCTAGCGATATTAAAAATCGAAAATAAAAATGTTTACGGCTATTTGCAATATTCTAATTTTCGACATATTTTATTGTCTCAGCGGTCGGACGAGATTGAACTACGAAGAGTACGATATCGTTGTCCGTTTGCCTGAACCTCAGCTCGCGAACGATTAGCGGTGTTTGAATTGATAAGTACTTTACGCGCGGCTCATGCCATCTCGTCCCGTTCGCGAGAACGGCCATGAGCGACGCGTAATTATGCATTAGGGGAAAGGGATCGTCAAGTCCGCCCGAAGTTGGCGAACTTGGTTAATTAGGAACGGTAGTCAGACGCTGCCTGCCATTGTCCGGCGCTGTTGACTTCCGGCCTTCACGCCCGTCTCTGTCTCACCTCTCCGACCCCTTGCCGTCCTTCCCCTCCCCCTTCTCTGCCCCCGGCGCGTCCCCTTTCCCTCCCCGTCCCCGTTTACGGAGGGGCCGAGAGCTGATTGTTTCATTGTTTCCGACCCCACTGTCAAATGCCACCGGCCTGAATGGGGTTATTGTTGTTTCAGGCCGCGGCGCAGACAATTCTCGAGGTTTTCAGGGTGCGCGCTAAGGCCGACATCCGAAGCGCAACTTTCACCACCGCTCTCTCGCCCCCTCCCCCCTCCTCCCTCCTCTCCGCTAGCTATACGCGCGATATTTTCATTAGGGACGATACGTATAGTTATTATTTTTTCGTGGTTTTCTTAGGGCGGGATTGAATGGCAGCCGACCCTAAGAATGTCCTGCGGTATCTGAAGGCGATGGGACTTTTGTTTTTTTAATTTCCATCACACTCTTACAAGTGACGCGAGCATCAGCGAACAATATAATCGAGCATCAGCAAATTTGGTCAATGAATAATTTTGAATCGAAGAAAACAATCATCGATTTGAGAAGCAAATATACAATTTGAAATTTATAACACGAGGTGTTTTTTTTTTTTTAAATAAAATACTTATTAGATATCGATGTGAGTCTTCAGGTATAAATTTTGATACGAAAGCTGCAATGATTCTGAAATTTAATGATTATTCAGGCAATCGTTCGTCGTTGCGCCATTGAACCTAGAACGGGAACAGTTTCTGGACATCCGGCGCGCGTAACGAAAATCCCGGCCAGTTGAACGTTTTAAAACGGTGAGTCCAGTGCACCGCAAGGATAAACATACGAAAGGATCCGGGACGGCTGTTCGTCTTCGCCCGGCATTCCTGAACGTCGTTCCGCCCCGTGTTGCCGTTGCTCTACAGGAGTCGTTTCGCCCCGAAAGGAGAGAGAGCGGGACCGGTAAAATACTGACCGGGGCAACATTTCACGGACGGATCGCGTCCGTGACCGGGGCGACGCGATACGATCGTCGCATTTCCCGTGGACGCTCATATATAAGGCGAACTTATGCCGAGCGTAAATTCCCGGGGCCACGGAGGCCGCTATCTTATCGCGGCCGCGGTTTGCAAGGCGCCGATAGAGACCATGCCCAGACATTATGCGAGATTGAAAAACCTGAGAGGCTTCTTTCGACCGCGCGTCGAACTTCCGGTCAACGACGGCGGCAGCGACCGGCGAACGGTCGCTCCTCGAACTCTCTCTCGAGGGTCGTGAGATCGAATTCGCGGATAAGTCATCTCCGCGGAGGAAAAGTCAGGGGAGATCGGTGAGATCGCTATTTTATTTTGCATAAAGAATTTTTCCCTCCTCGCGCTTTCCCAGTTCTGTCGAGAAATGTAAATTTCTATATAAGTTAAGTCAGATCGTGTACCGACAGAATGGTTTACATCGAGGAATTTTGAATGGTAAAAGGTTCAGAGTTAGCTAATGTTTGGAAAATATCAT